CAACTACTACTCTCTCTCTCTCTCTCTCTCTCTCTCTCTCTCTCTAAAGGTCACTCTTTCTCTCTCTAAAAGGTGAGACACTATCTCTCTCAGTATTCACCTGCGCCATGGAAAACCAACTCACGCTCCCTCGATCCTTCCTCCACAGCACCCTTGGTAAGGCTCTTCCATGATGATTTATTACCATTATAAACCCCTTCTTTTCCTGAGCACTACCGAAGCACATGGTATTTTTATGACCATATTACCCTTAACAGTTAAGTCTCTTTATTTATTTATTTTTTTAAGGATTGTATGCAAGACCATATTTCTTTTCTTTTTTTAAATGTCGAAGATAAATTTAAATTAAGGGGGCAAAGCTCCAATAAATAAAGAAATAGAAGAAGGGTGTGGTTTCCATGAGGTTGCAACCTTTAACAATCCAATTAAGGCACACCTTCAAATTTTTTCATAACATATAATTTTGATGTAAAATATTATTAGGGTTATCTTAAAATCTATTTTTATATCTAATTATAAAATTTTAAATTTCAAAAATGATTAAAATCAAGTAGATCTATAAACATATGAAAATTTTGAAAATAGACGGTCTAGATAATATGTTGTAAGATGCACTATTTCTGAGTCTCAAAATCTTTTTTTTTTTCATATTCATACATCTCGATGTCGAGATCATCAATCAAAAAGATTTTCAATATTAAAACAACTTTTTTCGTGGATTTTTATGGTGCATCCATAGTTATACATTTTAAGGTTACAACCTTATATAAACTTTTTTCATATAAGAATTCAAGTTGTATTTCCTACTTCTAGAGTTGAACCATCACGACTTCTACATATAACCTAAACTCTAACCTCAAAAGCTCCAACTCAACCCATACTGGGGATTATATGTAAAGGGACAATTTCCCTTTTGTATAAGGAGATCACAATTATTCTCGCTCATTAGATGTGGGATCAGTCATAAATTCCAATATTTTTTTAAAAACTTTATATTTAATCAATGGCACTCATACAATTACCCATTTTGAAATCTAAGAGATAAGATTGTTTCTTCCTAGTACAAAAGATAAATGGTATCTTTGTAGGCAATCCCTACCTAATACCTCAAATACTCCCCCACAAAGCACCCCCAAATACAATAATCCCAAAAGCTGCCCAACTTTTCAAAGGAAGACCCCAACTTCCATAGTGCAATCTATTCATGGGCCGGGGTTTATTATGCTCATAACCTACATTGAGTCGATGCCCATATGAATAGCAAGGAGATCATGGTGGCATATGGGAAGGTGGTGGTGCACAACCAACAACTGAAAATTATGAACAAAATCTATTCAAAGAGAAATATTAGTGAGTGAGGAAAAAGAGTGAGGATAGATAAGTGACTATAGGAATTTCAAGCACCTAACATGGAGCATGAGAAGACTACAATAGGACTCACTTACACCTGACCTAGCCCCATCTTAGGTGTTAACCTAATTTAGCATATACCTAGGTCCTTGAAAGGACCCCGTGATAGGATGCCAAACCCTAAGTAGAAGAGAGAATATCTTGACCGTTAAGTTTTAATATGGCATTATGAACTCTTAGACAATTTGGGAGTTTTGAATGATTGGCATAGTTTAAAACTTCTAGGAAAATTTATTAAAAAATCCTATTTGGGCCCCTTTATTTTGAGATACTTCATATTTTTAATAAAAATTATTCGTAGGGCACCCTACCTCGCCACCTTTTTCTACTTCTTTTTATTGCCTCCTGTTTGACCTTTTTAATACCATATAGATTGAAAATTCCATAATTTAGATTGTTTTTTCTTTTATTCGAGACCCACCTAATGTCAGAAACACCAAACCACCTTATATGTTGGGATGTTCAGTGTTTGTAATGTCTGACTAGCCAAAAGTCTAAAATTCCTAGGGTGTCTGACATTTTTTATATGGTACAGTTGAATTTGTCACAATCCTGGATCTACAACCATCTGCCCATCTACATTATTTTAGGTAAGTTATTTTCTTATTTCATTGTATTTTTTATTTTTTTATAATAGTAACTAAAACTTAAGTACCATTATATTGTAAACTCAGGTAGACTAGCTATATGCAATATAAACCCAGGACAGTACCGGTTAGGAGACATGAATTAGTTCAAGTGGAAGACTAAAAAAAGGCAATGGGGTAGGTCCAAAAAGACATGGTTGGAAATAATAGTAAAAAATATAAAGGTATATAGCCTTACTAAGGGTATGGCGCTTGATAGAGCACAATGTTGAACTTCGATTCGTGTATTCAGATCACAAATAGTTGGGAAAAGACTCTTATATATATAGGGAAAGTTTATAAAAGCTTGCAACCTTAAAATGTAGAACTATGGACGCACCTCAAAAATCCATCGAAAAAGGTTGTTTTAATATTGAAAAACCCTCTAATTGATCATCTTGGCGTCAAGATGTATGGCTATAAAAAAGAAAGGATTTTGAAACCCAGAAATGATGCATCTTACAACACATTATTTAGACCGTCAATTTTCAAGCTTTTCATATGTTTATAGATCTACTTGATTTTAATCATTTGTTTAGTTTAAAATTTTATAATTAGATATGAAAATGGATTTTGAGATAATCTTAACAATATTTTTACATCAAAATTATATGCTATGATAAAATTTGGAGGTGCGCCTCAAATGGATTGTTTAAGGTTGCAACCTTATGGAAACCACACCCCAATATATATATACACCTTATTATTTTTATTATTATTTTAACATGCCGAGTTATGAGCGCTAAAATTCGATTTTTCAAAAATAGGAAATATAACAGTAACATAAAGTTAACAAGTATTTTTTAAATTATTGGTTTATATTTTACAATCATTTTATTATACAAATAAGAATAAGTTTGAAATTAATTTTATAATATCATCTAATTTACAACTATAACAAAAAATAATACATTATATAGTCCATAATATAGATATATTAAAAAATAATATATAAGATTTGCTTATCAATCTAATTAGTATAATTATTGATTACAATATCATATTAAACGTGATTCAACAAACAAGATGGCTCTTGCATGTATATTTTGAATTGCCTATATATTTTTTATAATAAACATAATTAGTTTAAAAAGTAGTTTAAATTGCTACTCTATTTTTTAAGCAATATTTGGGTTGCTAGTATACTTTAAAAAAAAGCAGTGCTCTTGCATATATTTTGCCACCCAAAATATAATTTTTCTAATTAGTCTTCTATTTGAGCAAGCTTTTGCATATATATATTTGGGTTGAGCGAAACACTTGGTTTTAATATTATTAGTGGTAAGTTTCCACGCATAATGGTTTAGAAGATGCCACATCTAAAATTTGGAGGAGGAGAGCATTAGGAGTTAATAAGTTTGCACGAAGAGATAATGAGGCACGGGGAGTTAATAAGTTTGCAGGAGGAGTTAATAACGCACGAGTTAATAAGTTTGAACGACGAGTTTACAAGTTTAGATTTGTCCCACATCGAATGTTTCCCGAAGAATTCATTAAGTTTGGATTTGTCCCACATCGAATGTTTCTCGAAGAATTCATTTTTACATCTTAGTTGAGATAGGCATTTGTCCTCTATTTTGATAAAAATTTCCAAAGTACCCTTAGAAAAAAATTCACTTCCAATTTACTAGCATAATACATAAAAACAAATGGATTGCATAATAATGGATTGTGCATTATTAAGAAACATGCAATTGGATTGCGTAATAATGGATTGTGCATTATTAAAAAACAGGCAAATGGATTGTTATTGTTTGGATAATATATAAAACATCCAAATGGATTGTGTAATACATAAAACATGCTATTGGATTGTTACTATATTAAAAAACATGCAAATGGATTGTTACTGTATTAAAAAGTATGCAAATGGATTGCGTAATACATAAAACATACAAATAGATTGTTACTGCACTAAAAAACATGCAAATGGATTGCGTAATACATAAAACATGCAAATGGATTGTTACTGTTGGGGTAATACATAAAACATGCAAATGGATGTTACTGTTTGGGTAATACATAAAACATGTAAATGGATTGCGTAATACATAAAACATCCAAATGGATTGTTAAATCATACAAATGGATTACGTAATACATAAAACAATCAAATGAATTATTATTTTTTCTGACAGATAACATGCAAATGGATTGTTACTGTATTAAAAGACATGCGTAATACATAAAACATGCAAATAGATAGTTATTGTTTGGGTAACACATAAAACATGCAAATGGGTTGCGTAATACACAAATCATGCAAATGGAATGTTACTGTTTGGGTAATACATAAAACATGCAAATGGATGTTACTGTTTGGGTAATACATAAAACATACAAGTGGATTGCGTAATATATTAAACATTCAAATGGATTGTTAAAACATTCAAATGGATTACGTAATACATAAAACATGCAAATGGATTGCGTAATACATAAAACATGCAAATGAATTGTTTGTTTTTTTTTGACATATAATATGCAAATGGATTGTTACTATATTAAAAGACATGTGTAATACATAAAACATGCAAATAGATTGTTATTGTTTAGGTAATACATAAAACATGCTAATAGATTGCGTAATACATAAAACATACATATACATTGTTAATGCATAAAACATGCAAATGAATTATTAATGTATTAAACATGCAAATTGATTGTTACTATTTGGATAATACATAAAACATACAAATATATTGTGTAATACATAAAACATGCAAATGGATTGTTACTGTTTGGATAATACATAAAACATGCAAATGGATAACGTAATACATAAACCATGCAAATGGATTGTTACTGTTTGGGTAATACATAAAACATGTAAATGGATAGCGTAATACATTAAACATGCAAATGAATAGCGTAATACATAAAACATGCAAATGGATTGCATAACACATAAAACATGCAAATGGATTGTTAATACATAAAACATGCAAATGGATTGTTACTGTTTGGGTAATACATAAAACCTGCAAATGGATAACATAATACATAAAACATGCAAATGGATTGTTACTGTTTGGGTAATATATAAAACATGCAAATGGATAGCGTAATACATAAAACATGTAAATGGATAGCGTAATACATAAAACATGCAAATGGATTGTTAATATATAAAACATGCAAATAGATTGTTACTATTTGGGTAATACATAAAACATGCAAATGAATTGCGTAATTCATAAAACATGCAAATGGATTGTTACTGTGTGAATAATACATAAAATATGCAAATGAATTGTGTAATACAGAAAACAAGCAAATAGATTGTTACTGTTTAGGTAATACATAAAACATGCAAATGGATTGCGTAATAAATAAAACATGCAAATGGATTGTTAATACTTGGATGGTATTTAAATGCAACATGGGAAATACATTGCAATTAGATGACACAGTTTAATTTGGAAGCACAATCATTATGTCCTGTAAATTTCAAAATGGGTGGTTGTACTAGTGTCATTGAAAAAATACAAAATTTTTTAAAAAATAAAAATGCTCACCTCAAGCCATCCAATTTGACATCTAATATTTGAGAATGATTGTGAGCTCCATTCACAAAAGATAAATGGTCTCTTTGTAGACATTCTTATTTAATATTGAAATGGATATGTATAAATAGTATAACCATACAATGCTTGTCATGCTTCAAAGAATAATAACTTAATAGTGTGAATTAATATTGGTCATAAATATCGAGTAAACTATTTTAGTCACAACTTTTAAATATTGTTAATTTATAGTTTAAATAGTAAATGATGATGTATTTTAAAAAATATTATTGTGAAATGGTAAAGTATTTTAAGAATTAGATTGAGATATTGGAGGAGGCCAATGTGAAGAAAAAAAATACATCTAATATATGGTAAGTTATTAATCACTTATTTATCTATATCTAAACCCTAATCCAAAAAAAAAAAATTCAAAAGAGTAATCATTATAATTTATCACCTTTTTGCGTCGATCTAAACCTTAATCCCAAAATAATCATTTCGTTAAAAAAAATATAGCAATCATTGTAATTCATAAATCTTCTGCAACAACTCATCAATCCAAATTCCTTTTGCTTGATGAGAAAAGTTATGAAGAGATCTCATAATTCTTTGCAACAATCCATCAATCCAAATCCCTTTGGGATTGATGAGAAAAATTAAAAACAACATAGAAGATAGCTAAAATTGCTTCAAGGGCTGAAGAGCGATGACATAATAATATGAGAGCTAACGTTTTCTGATGTGGGCTACATCCCAAATTGG